TATCAAGTCTGTTAGTGGGGAAAAACATTCAACCATTTACAATACAGCTTTTATGCTATTTGTATGCTTGTTTATGAGAGCCTACTTTCAATCTCCCTCATACTGCTAGCCAGCCACATGGTGTTAGTACCTCTAGGTATCACATAACACACAGGCTTCCCAGGCAGCTTCAGCTGCTTCAATTTCAGATTTAGGCTATTACATGTATACCCAGGCAATGAGCTGGACTGCTGGGCGAAACACACATACGAATAGGTCCACATATGCCACCACCGCCTTAGACCTCTCGTCCATAGCACACTTCAGAGATAAATCTCATGAAAAGTAAAAATGCCATAAATTCTATCAGCTATCTTAGTAGGTGCCTGATATACCAAAGCCTCAAAGACCATTTGCCTGGAAGTGGATCACTTCTGCAAGCAAACCTTATAGTAGGATCAAAACAGCTTATTAGCCGGGCTCGGTGGCTCAGCCTGTAATCCCACGCCTTGGGAGGCTGAGGTGAGTGGATTGCCTGAGCCCAGGGGTTCGAGACCCGCCTGGGCAACTTGGCGAGACCTCATCTCTACAATAAATCAAAAAATCAGCTGGGAGTGGTAGCACACGCCTGTAGTTCTAGCTACTTAGAAGGCTGAGGCGGAAGGATCGCCAGAGCCCAGCAGGTCGAGGCTGCGGTGGCCGGGAGCGACCACTGCACTCCAGTCTGGGTGACCGAGTGAGACTCCAACTCAAAACAAAAACAAAAACAAAAAAACCAGCTTATTATTTTTAACTGGAGAAAAGAGTCCAGAGATATTTAAAAGCATTAACATGGCAGGGTCAGTGGCTCAGCCCGTAATACCAGGACTTTGGGAGGTGGAGGCCAGAGGACTGACTAAGCCTGCGGGTTCGAGACCCACTCAAGGCAATTTGGTGAGACCTCGCCTCTACAATAAATTAAAAATTACCCGGGTGCAGTAAAGCACGCCTGTAGTTCTGGCTACTTGGAAGACTGAGGCAGAAGGATCACAGGAGCCCAGCAGGTTGAGGCTGTGGTGGCCAGGAGTGTGCCACTGCCCTCCAGCCTGGGTGACAGAGTGAGACTCCAACTCAAAAAAAAAAAGCATTAACATTATACCTTCCTAACTCAAGAAAATTTCCTGACTCACAGTAAAACAATCTGGTAGCCAGATAACACTGAGTTAAAGTTGTTCTTAAATGTTGTGATGTACTAAAAAAGTTCAGTTTAAAGCGAAATTTTAAATTCAATGCTTAATTAGGCTTTTAATACTTTAATGACATTTTCAGTGTCACATTTCAGTGTTTCACTTGTTCTGGAAAGCGGTCATACTTTATTTTTCTTACTCTTGTTCATTTTGGTTGCAGTCAGTATTTCACAATTGCAAATAAAACTAAGTTAAACATCAACACAGCCTGAATTACCTATGACATTATCCCAGAAGTCGAATAATGAGGTTAAAAAATAAGCAAAGGTGTTTCATAGCTCACAGCTGCCCAATTACTTTCTAAACTGTCATACCCATTTAAAATGTTACTGGTAACATGCAAGAGTACCAATTTCATGAGACTTATAACAACTAGGATCATCAATTTTTTTTTTGAGTCAGAGTCTCACTGTCGCCCAGGCTGGAGTGCAGTGGCACACTCACGGCCACCACAGTCTCAACCTGCTGGGTTTAGCCGATCCTTCTGCCTTAGCCTTCCAAGTAGCCGGAACTACAGGCATGCGCTACCACGCCTGGCTAATTTTTTTTATTTATTGTAGAGATGAGGTTTCACCAAGTTGCCTGGGCTAGTCTCGAACCTGCAGGCTCAGGCAATCCGCTTGCCTTGACCTCCCAAAGTGCTGGGATTTCAGGACAAGCCACCGAGCCCGGCCATCAGTTTTTTTTTTCATCCTAGTCATCCTCAGAATCAATTCTTGCTTATGTAGATATCAAAAGATGGTAGCCTATTTTTAATTTTTCCTAACAAAGTTGTAAACTTACATATATTTATTATCTCTTCTAGTCTTTGGAATAAAGACCCTATCACACATTTTGTGAAGAACACCACATGATCTAATAGGTTTTACATGCTATCCATAATTCCGTTACATGTAAGGTCAAAGGTATATATATGGCTTCAAAAGATTTTTTTCAAAAAAGAGCTATGCTCTGAGATTATTTTTTCTTTTCTTTCTTTTTTTTTGAGATAGTCTCTCAGTTGCCCAGATTGAAGTGCAGTAGCACAATCAAAGCTCACTGAAGCCTCAAATTCCTGTGCTTAAGTGATCCTCCCACCTTTACTAAAAACTAGCAGCACATGGTGGTTATGTGCCTTGAGTACCAGCTACTCAGTCTCCTGAGTATTAGAGGCACATACCACCATGTGCTGCTAGTTTTTAGTAAAGATAGGATCTTGCTGTGTTGCCCAGACTGGTTTCAAACTACTGACCTCAAGCAATCCTCCTGCCTCAGTTTCCCAAAATATTGGGATTATAGGCATAAGCCAGCCTTGCTCTGAGATTTCAATCATATAGACTGTTGCTCTTCCAGTAAAGACAAGCATATGTGTTACTTACAGGTATGCATGCATATGCACATATGTAGGTATGTTTATGTGTATTTCTATTTATAACTTTTAGTTATGGACATCAAGTTAAACTCCAAAAATTATCACAAAGAGAGTTCAGGGCCAGGTGTGGCAGCTCACTCCTGTGATCCCAGCACTCTGGGAGGCCAAGGCAGAAGGATCACTTGAGGTCAAGAGTTCAAGAACAGCCTAGGCAACACAGTGGGACCCATCTCTACAAAAATTCATCTAAAAAAATTAGCTAGGCGTGCTGGTACACACTTGTAGTCCTAGCTACTCAGAAGGTCAAGATAAGAAGATCACTTTTGCCTAGGAGTTCAAAGCTGCAATGGGCTATGCTCACACCACTGCACTCCAACCTGGGTGACAGAGCAACACCCTGTCTCTAAAAAAAATTAAAATATATGAAAAAAAGACACAGTGTTCACTTACAGTTGAGAAAACATAAGACATATATTCCCCTAAATCCATAAGGTAAGTGCCTACTTAGCCTTTATAACACTACTCAGGAGCTAGCCACCTCTGAAACTTCCTTATTAGCCCAACTTAGTCTCTTTCTCTAACTCGTGCATAAACCAATTACATTACTGTCTTTATAGTCCTGGTCTGAAACAATTTGTTACCGGCCTGTTTCCTCCAGCAAAGTAGGGGCTCCATATAGCAGGGACCATGTTATAATCATTTCAGTCTTTCCAGCACTGCACATGGAAAGTATTATCTTTTGACTGGTGAACATAAATACCATTGTGTTACAATTGCCTACAGTATTCGGTACAGTAATGTATACAGGTTTGTAGCCTAAGGGCAACAGGCTATAACATACAGCCTAGGTGTGTGGTAGGCGATACAATTCTGGTTTGTACAGATACACTCGATAGTGTTGGCAAGACAAAACCACCTAATGACGCAGTTAGCAGAATATATTCCCCATTATTAAGAGACTTAATGCCTAGACATTCTCCTCACCATATTTTATAATTCTCATGAATATTAATGCAGAATTACATTAAAACTTTGCTTCTCATCCTTTTTATCCCCCAAAAGCAGTTAGGAAAGTACTAAATAAAAATGCAATTTTAGGGTCAACTTTTGAAAATGATAACGCCAGCCTAGGCAACTTGGCGAGACTTCATCTCTACCATAAGTAAAAAACTTAGCTTGGCATGGTAGTAGGCACCTAGTTCCAGCAATTTGGAAGGCTGAGGCGAAGGATCGCCAGAGCCCAACAGGTCGACGCTGGGGGCTGGGGTGGCCATGAGTGTGCCACTGCACTCTAGCCTGGGCAACAGGGTGAGACTCCAACCTCCCCCCAAAAAAAAAAAAAAAAAGAAAATGATAATGTTTTTAAGTCAGTTTATACCACCCTATTACCCAAATTCTATACAATAACATAATATATTGTGCCAACAAATAATGACATTAAATAGACCAATACCCTTATTAAAATTCTATTTATTTATTTATGAGTCAGGGTCTCACTCTGTCCCCCAGGCTAGAGTGCAGTGGCACAATCACAGCTCACTGCAGCCTCGACCTCCTGTGCCCAGGTGAGCTTCCACCTCAGTCTTCCAAATAGCTGGAATGTGCCACCACACTCGGATAATTTTATTTATTTTTTGTAAAGACAGGGCCTTGCTATGTTGTCCACCATCTCACATACTGACTCAAGAAAGAATATTATCCTTCAGAGTAACTGCTACTACTTCTTCTTCTTTTTTTTATTTTTTGAGTTGGAGCCTCACTTAGTCGCCCAGGCTGGAGTGCAGTGGCACACTCACGGCTACCCCAGCATCAACCTGCTGGGCTCAGTTATCCTTCTGCCTCAGCCTTCCAAGTAGCCAGAAGTATGGGCATGCACTACCACGCCTGGCTAATTTTTTATTTATTGTAGAGACGAGGTCTTGCCAAGTTGTCCGGGGCTGGTCTGGAGCCCGTGGGTTCAGGCAATCCACTTGCCTCAGCCTCCCAAAGTACTGGGAATACAGGTTGAGCCACCAAGCCCGTCCAGCTGTTACCTCCAAGTTCAGTTCTGTAGGCCAGAAAAAGTACTCTATCATCTATCATTAAATTTTAAGCAACTTTTTCTTGGATGGGAGGAAAACTATTTTTCTGCACATGAATCCATATTTATAACATACTGTTATGTGAAATGAGCTTATGGAAAGATATTTATATTTTATAAATGATAAGAACATTGTAGATACTCAAATATTTATTATTTGTTAGTTCGTTATTTAAACAGAAGCATCCATAAAATACAATCTACCAATTCACTAATTATTTAACTAGTTCATGGTCATCATCAATTGATAAGAGAAGTATTCTACTGTTATTAAACGACAAATATTTCAAAATGACACACTATAACCTTCTGACAAGAGTTCTCGTGCTGGTAGTTTTGTGTCCCTAATTGATCAAAGGCTCACCTGACAGGTCCAGCTCCTCAGTGGAAGACAGGTTGGCCAGACTCCAGCTGTCACTGCGGGCTGCCAGGACAAACTTGTGAGCACTGATGTGCTTGCCCCCAACCTTTATCTTCAGGTCACTGAAGAAGAAAAATATTCACAGATTGAAAAAAGAAAAATGCAATTATAATTAGGTATAACTAGGATTCATAGCAGATAAAAATATGAGTACTGATCAGCATGCAACTGCAAAAGAAAAAAATCACAGCAAGATTATTTCTGTATCCTAGCATTGAATTCTGATAGGTCATGTTGGTAATACATTGTTAGAAATCTTTTCTATTGGGCCAGGCTCGATGGCTCAGCCTGTAATCCCAGCACTTTGGGAGGCAGAGGCGAGTGGATTGCCTGAGCCTGCGGGTTCAAGACCAGCCTGGGCAACTTAGCGAGACCTCGTCTCTACAATAAAATAAAAAATAGCCGGGCGTGGTAGCATGAGTCTGTAGTTGCAGCTACTCGAAAGGCTGAGGCAGAAGAATTGCTGGAACCCAGAAGGTCGATGCTGGGGTGGCCATGAGCGTGCGTGCCACTGTACCCCAGCCTGGGCAAAGGAGTGAGATGCCAACTCAAAAAAAAAAAAACAGAGCCGGGCTCGGTGGCTCAGTCTGTAATCCCAGCACTTTGGGAGGCTGAGGTGAGTGGAATTGCCTGAG